AAAAGGCGTTCGCTGAACCCCGACGCACGCAGTCTCTAGGAAAAGACGAGCTAGTCATCCACTTCCTCAGGGGAGCTAGAAGGATGAACCGCCCGTGCCCCCCTTCGGTTCCCATTTGGGATCTTTCTATAGTTCTTGAAGCTCGGAAAGCCCTCCCGTTCGAACCATTAGAGTTTGTGGACCTAAAATACCTCTCGCTAAAAAACATTTTTCTGATTGTCCTGTCATCAGTTAAAAGCATGGGAGACCTTCACGGGCTCTCTTCTAGCGCAGCGTGTCTCGAGTTTGGACCCAATGACTCCATAGTCATCCACAAACCTAGACATGGCTATGTCCCCAAAGCGATTGGTACCCCGTTCAGGGCTCAGGTTATTTCCCCATCGGCTCTGCCCGCATCTGATAGTGAATGTGAGGCCAATCTCCTTTGTCCGGTTCAGGCTCTGAGATTGTACACTACACGCGCTGCCACGTTCAGACGCTCTGAGCAGCTTTTCATTTCGTTCGGTGGGCGCACTAAAGGTCTGGCCGCCTCAAAACAGACACTATCCAGATGAATAGTGGACGCTATTGCTTCTGTTTATGCGTCTAAAAACCTGCCATGCCCTCTGGGCATCAGGGCTCATTCCACTAGAGGCATGGCCTCATCGTGGGCATGGTCCAGCGGCATTTCCATTCAAGACATATGCGTGGCAGCGGAATGGGCTTCCCCTTCCCCCTTTGTCAGATTTTACAATCTGGAAGTACCCGCCCTGCAGGCTAAACTACTAGCAGTCTAGTATGCTTCAGCTCTTCTGTTTTGAGCTGCACTATTGGGAGTCACACTCATACAACCGGCACGCCGCTTGTTCTTCCCTTGTGCTTATGTACTACACAATCCCGGCCCGCTTGCTGGCCCTTTCATGTTCACGTACATTATTAATTCCCACTTATAAGGGTCCCCCGGGACTCATTGTGGATGTTTAATGCGCATGGCGTTGACCATTTGTTCCCGTAGTGTAAGCTAGCTTACGCAATACGAGAGAACCTCTCGTAAGAGAATGAATCGGTTACCTAACGTAACCTCGGTTCTCTCTAGATGAGGGAACGAGTATTGCGTTCCCGGGCGTGCTTGTGTTACTAGTGTTCTCATTTCATTCAATGAAAACCGGAAAACAGCAGGAAACTCGCCTATTTATAGACTCGGGCCACGCCGTTTTGAAGGGCTTGACGCAATGAGAGCGTGTCAGCTTCTCATTGGCCGCGAGTTCAACCGAGTTCCCTCATAGGCTGTAGCAGTTTTCCCCGAGCGAACCAATGAGCTGCTAGCTAGCCCGCTCATGGTCTGCTGCAGATGAACTGCGTTGACAATGGATACAAAATTAAAGGATAATTGTAACAAGGTTCAGGGAAGAAGGAGACAGGAACCGGATATCAAAAAATAAAACTTTATTTGAATGAAATAAACAAACAAAATACCTGCCAGCAGTTCCTCGCGGAACTGCTGGCTACCCAAAATAAAACATAAATACTGGCCAGCAGCCCCTCGCGGACGACTGCTGGCTTACCAAAATAAAGTATAAAACACAAACAAAAGCAGGCCTGTTCCTCTCTCGATCATCCACTCCATCGCTCCCACTTTATGCCTCCGCTCCTTCGTGAGAGATACGAGATCGGTGTGCTTCGAAGGTGGTGCTCATTAGCAATCGCAACATCGGCCTTGCGACTTTCGGTCACGTCCCTCGGCCGTCTATCCTGCTCATCTGTGGCGGACAGCAGCAGGCTCTGGCCCACGGCGAGTGGCGGCGACTCACGCACCATGCTCGATGGCACCGCGGATCCCCCACAGCGGCGAGGACCCTCGGACAGCGAGTTCCTCCCTCTTCCCAGGTTTCGGCACCAATGTAACAAGACTTCATTGAATTTTTCATTGAATTTCATTGGACTTCATTGAATTTTTGTTGTTGTTTTTGTTTGTTTTTAAATTGTCATCATAACTACAATTTAATATTTACAACTCATAAATATTAACTTCTCAGGACGACTTAAATGCACCAACTAACATATTCAAAACATGTTAGAAGCAATGGCAATGATATCGGCCATCCAAACCCTTTCACCCCAAACCAAAAATTAATGTATGCTTTTCAGGCAAACTTTCTTGGCATTAACCTTATAGGTTGCCTAAATTTCTATTCATCACTTATTGAGCTCATTTTCAGCAGGGAAGAAAGAGGCAGGAACCGGATGACAATAAAAAAAAATTATTTTATTTTTAACGAAATAAACAAATTACCTGCCAGCAGTTCCGCAAAATAAAACATAACTACCGTCCAGCAGCCCCTCGCGAATGACTGCTGGCTCACCAAAATAAAATATAAAACACAAACAAAAGCAGGCCTGTTCCTCTCTCGATCATCCACTCCGTCGCTCCCCCTACATGCCTCCACTTCTTCGTGAGAGATGCGAGACCGGTGTGCTTTGCAGGTGCTGCTCATTAGCAATCGCAACACCGGCCTCGCGACTTTCTGTCACGTCCCTCAGCCGTTCTGCTCACCACAATATTTTTTTGGCTTCAACTTCTCAGAAAAGATGAATCTTTCCCGTAGCGTTAGCTAGCTTGTGCAATACTCGTTCCCTCATCTAGAGAGAACAGAGGTTACGTTAGGTAACCGATTCGTTTTATCACAGAGCACAATGCCACAGATGTCGCAAGCATGCAATTGGCATGCTGACTGCAGGAATGTGTACCAGAGCTGTTGCCCATGCATTGAATGTTCATTTCTCTACCATAAGCCGTCTCCAAAGGCGTTTCAGAGAATTTGGCAGTACATCCAACCAGCCAGGTGACCAGGTGTAACCACACCAGCCCAGGACCTCCGCATTGGACTTCATTGAATTTTTGTTGTCGTTTATGTTTGTTTTTAAATTGTCATCATAACTACAATTTAATATTTACAACTCATAAATATTAACTTCTCAGGACGACTTAAATGCACCAACTAACATATTCAAAACATGTTAGAAGCAATGGCAATGATATCGGCCATCCAAACCCTTTCACCCCAAACCAAAAATTAATGTATGCTTTTCAGGCAAACTTTCTTGGCATTAACCTTATAGGTTGCCTAAATTTCTATTCATCACTTATTGAGCTCATATTCACACGACCACCCATGTTGATATATAAGCTATTTAACAGCTTCAACTCCCTCAACTTTTGCACTTCTTATAACTTATTGTGTTTACTCTTACTGTGTTTAGCTCTTACGGTGATTTTCTGAAGTAAAACTGACGCTTCATCTTTTGTGTGATGTACAATAAACGTTATTAAACTCATAAGTATATGTTGGATCATCATTCGGACCTGGTCTGAAACAGCAGACTTGTAGGCTATTAATAAATAATGGATACAAACAGGGGTTAAAGTGGGCCAGAACGGTCCGGAACTGCGTTCCGGCACCTCAGATAAATTAATGAATAAATAGATTAATTAATCTCAACGAATCTCGCTGCTCTCGATATGGGCCGAATCGACCAAACAACCTCTTTCCTGCCCGCTAAACGTGAACGATTGCAAATGCGTGAAACGCACTCACGGTGGTTGAGCACGGAAAAGTTTTAGGTTCGATACATTTCGCCTGACATTTGTTTTCCCTAGCCACTGTTCTTTAGGGTCTCACAAAGAGATCAATAGCATGATTAGTTTTAACATTATGTCACCATTGTATATCGACATTAAATATTCGTTCAAAATCAGCTAGTGCATTAATGCTGCATATTTATACCTGAGAATGCTTTGACGCGTTTGCACAGCGCATGATGAGGGAACGTCTGCCAATTCCACCAACTGCGTTAAACGAAGCTATAATTTGTATTATTTAAAATTACTTGTCAAATTCCAAAGCTTGTAGAAGGTTCCTATTGGCAATACTGACCTGGTAGCCTTAATTAAATTACCTTGTTTAAGATAATAATTCATAAAAAATATAATTATCATTTAAGATTACCATAAATTGCACTAAAGTTTACTTAAATTAAAAGACTATCAGTCAAAGTTCAGCTTTAGGAGGGGAAGAAATAGGGCAGGTTAAGGAGACTGAGAGAAAAAGAAATATGTAGACGAGGAGCAGATATTGAAACAAATAATATATATTTGATATATTAAATATAACAGATATTTGACAAAATAATCTAATGCCCGCTGGTATGGTTTTAAAGCTATTTATTATCTTTTTTTGGCCTTCAAAAGTCTTAAATTGCACATATGTAGGTCAGAGAAATCAAAATTTTCTTGGGGGAGCTGGGAGCATGCCCCCGAACCGCCCTAAATATTTCTTATTTTAATGCACATGTCGTGGAAATACCCTAAAAGTATTCCTATACCACGATACTCAAAATGTTGTCCCGAGGTGATTAATTTTTCCCCAGTTGCACCTACACAAAATTTGAGGGTTCCCCCATCTACCAAATCCCACTTTAACCACTGGATGCATACAAGCAGATGACAAATACGTTATAATAACCGTAATTAAACTACTAAACTATACCTGTTCCATCTCTATACAGCACTCTGACTCTGTAGGCATTATTGTCCGACTCGAAATGAACACCGTTACTGAGAGTTTCTGATATTATCATCATTCCGTGAGGTGAAATTGTCCAGACAGACTGAGCGCGAGCTCATGAAGCTCCACCCCCTGTGCCGGCAGTAGCAGCTTATTTGCATTTAAAGGGCACACACTAAAAACAGTGCGTTATTCTGAGGCTCAAAAATGACAATTTCAACATGCTGTAAAAAATTATCTGTTTGGTATTTTGAGCTGAAACTTCACATACACATTCTGGGGACATCAGAGACGTATTTTACATCTTGTGAAAAGGGGGAATAATAATAATAAGGGACCTTTAAGATGCTAATTCTACTGATGTGGCCTGGAGAGAATATCAGACCCTTTCACACTAAACAGCTGTTAGAGAAATGAGAGCATATAACAGGTTTTGGTGAGGAGTTAACGGCTTACTTTGCTTCCAAAGCAAGAGCAATGATCCCTGCTGCCATCGGAGCTGATGCTGATGTTCCAGTGTGACTGTCTGTGCAGCGGTGCCTCAGATCTGTCGTGATCTAACAAGAGAGACAAACAACATCATAATTATTCTTGTGTATTGAGTTAGCATGTTTTTAAGTTGTAAATAAAACTTAAAGGTATAGCGGAGGATTTTCTTTTTCCGGGTGGGTAGTCTATACTATTGGTCCACCTAAAGGCCAATTTATACTTCTGCGTCGAGGGTACGCCGTAATGTGCGGCGTTGGCTACGCACGTAGGCGACGCCGTTACGAGCATTTATACTTCTGCGTTCAGGTCTTGGTTGCTCTGCAGTACTGCTCCGAAACGCTAGTTGGCGGCGGAGAGTTTTAATGTGTTTAGATTCCTCGCGGCTAGGTTACTACAAGCAATAGCGATTGAAAGAGAGCGGATCATGTTGGAGTTGGAGCTTATTGAGGTGGAAAAACAGTTCACTTTAGTGAAATTACTAAAACTGAAAGGCAGAAATGAGAGAAGACGTCGGAGGAGATGGTACGTGTGGAAATCATAGACAGTGGTGGAAATGTGTGAGAAGGTACGTGCGGAAATGCGTAGGAGGAAATGCGATGATACCAAGCCGACCAATCACCGATCTTGCGGTCCGCGTCGTCGCGACGTGTAGTTACATTTTTGACGAGGTGCGCGTCAGGCGACGGCGAAGGGTACGCGCAATGGGACGCGTCTGTGCGTATGCTACGCCGTACCTACTGCGCGCACCCTACGCAGAAGTATAAATTGGCCTTAAGTGTCAATCATTCTGGTGATATGTTTACGTAAGGCCGTCGTACGTGCTCATCCCTATGTAGTTTTCACTTTCAGGTGTATTTTGTCGGAGTTACGGTTTCAGCCATTCCTTTGAAAATGGCTGAGGGTCGAAAGAGAAAAAATGTTTACTAAGTGTATGATAAGAAGAGAAAGGCCGCAGAATATAGAAACAAGACCAGAGTGATTTTGGGTGAATATCACACGCTGGCGTGCGCTAAAAGCACAGGTTGGGCTTCTCACTGATGCCGCAGGCGTGAAGATTCTACTAGACAGGTAAAGTTTGTCATGCTATTTAGAGAAATCCATTTAAAATCACTAGTAAAAGTTAAATGCAAGCTACTTAGCAATATAGCCCTGGCACAAGTCATGCACCGCATAGACACGGTAAACATCTCAATTTGTCTAAAGTAGCCTTTTGACCAAATGGTATCACGCTGAAATATTCTAAAACCTTGTGTGTTTATTATTACACAAATGCAACAAGCTACTTCTCCATTACATATGCAACTATGTATAAAAATTACGTATTAATACCTACGTATTAACAATGAGACATATTAGGTTAAGGACCAACGTAATAGCACTGCTTATATGTTGCCATGTAACGTAATTGCGATTTGCAAAATAGTTTCCTCAGAACGTATTTCGTGTGATAAAGGGTTGTACATATCATGTCTTGAGTCCTCGGTCACTCAATCGATCAGTATAAGAAGTCAATAAAACACGGAAGGGCATTTTACTTTTGTCTTTTTTATGAATGTTTTTGAGTTAGTTTATAATTTGCAACATAATAATTGTGTAAGGCGTAATAGGCGTTCCCTCTCGGGAGCAAGAGTGTTGTGTTTGTGCATGTGCATTTTGTTTTAAAAATGGAGAGGGCGGGTCTTCTCTAAAATTCGGAAAGATCCTCCGCTATACCTATAACATGTACACTGTATGACGTAAAAGTAACAATACTTGACTGCTCCTGTTACAATAAGCAACACGGTAAACACTTCAAATATGCAATAGACAGCTTTTCTGATTACAAGTGTGTTCTAGCTGTTGCATTGTTATTTGGGTTTAGTTTTAGTTACCTTTAATGAGCCAGTACATTTTTTTATCACTTGCATTTCCAACAAATCCGCTACTTCAAAGACACATAATGCACTAAACCTCAAAAAAGAAATCCTGCCAAAGTTAAATTTGTATTAGTTAACTGCACTTCAACATATTGCAGCACTTACTGACAATGAAATTTGCTATAAATGTGCCATTGTGCTACACTTAGCAGTAAATTACCATTGCTTTGAGACATGCCTTCCTGTGTAATTGGGCAGTAACTGGAGAGTTTTTATCTATTTAAGCTAGATCAAATCAGAAGACTTAAGAAGATTTACGATATAAATCAGACTAGGGTGGGTTTAAAGGGCCCTCTGTGAAAATGTGAAAAGTGACTGATTACAGACAAGCAGTAAATGGACGGAGTTGAGAAAACTGAGATTCTGTGAATTAAAATGACCTGAAATCTGTAGAAGACAACAAAGAGAAGTGCTAATGTCTGTAACACTGGGCCTCAGAAAGTAAACGCGTATCGGGAAAGGAGTTTGAAAGTCAATGTGGAATTTCACACGTAACTCTGAGACAAGCTGAGAGACAAGGAAGAACTGTCGGTCTGTAACTCTCAGAGGAGTGCGTAAAAGTGTGTGTGGGCTGTGTAAACCACAGCAGTTAACAACAGGACAGTCCGATGACACAGTGACCAACAAAGCAGATCAAACACATGCCCAAAGAAATACATGAAAATGCATTAGGCGTGTTCTTATTAGCAAATAAGAAAAAAGAAGCCTGTGAAAATAAATATGCATTGTTAATTCTGTCATCATTTTGTCTTCACAACATAATTCCCCCCTATTAGAATGCGGTTCAGTTCTAGAAACATGGTGACTTTAACCCTTGTGCTGCATTAGATTTTTAACACCGTTGAGTGACCAAAAGGACCAAAAATGGCCACATATTAAACATTGCCTAAAATATTATATATTATTATTATTTTCCACTTTTACCAAGTTAAATCTTTTAATGAGCATCAGTCCTCATCATAACTACCAAAAATGTATTCAATTTCAGGATTTTAATCCTTGTTTTGCGAAACCATCGATTTGTATAAGAGGAAAAAACACAAAAATTCAATTATTTTCAATAAACTAAATGCAAAGAGAAAACTTTAGATTTGGATTATCACAGTCCCACTTTGCAAAAAATCCCACTTAGCGCGTTAGAGACCAAAAATGGCCACCTATTAAACATTTCCTATTTGCCTAAAATAAGGTGCATTTCCACCCATAGGGAATAAATATGTAGTGACGTCATCTGGTGGAATACACTATATAATGCAAATATAATGCTTTTGCTTCAAAATGAATGGATGTTTGTGCAAAAATCATGTTTCATGTATTACTGACAGCCTCAGATTTAAACAACGTTTTAATGGGTTTCAATGGGCCATTTTTGGTCTTTATGGTGCCGAGTGTTACTATTTGATCTACACAGTGTGTGTTATACATATTTTGCAAAATGGGATCACATTTTATACATGTATCCAAAAAGTCACAATTTTGCCAAATTTCATACCATTTGCATTAAAACAGCCAAAATGGTCAAAGAAATTAAACTGCAAAAGACCAAAAATGTCCCTAATCCAGCATAAGGGTTAAAGCTAATCCAGCAACATGCATGTTTTCTAAAAAAGCAGGTCTACTCCGTGCATAAGATCTAGTTACAGTTTATGCATTATTTAGGTAACTTACGATTTTACGGTCGTAATTCTCTCCACTACTGTAGGTGGTGGTGAGGGTTGAGGAACACTCTTCCAGATACCAGGGCTTGCGGCCGCTCTCAGCCGTGCTGCTGATGGATATCGTGTAGATGCTGTTGGTGTAGCCGTCACATGAGCAGTGATCTCGACTCCGACCACCATTTCCTGATGCCCAAACAAAGATCGAGCCCCGTCCCTTCCTGCCCTGTGAGCAAAAACCATAAGTGAACTTATTGCGTTAAATGTGAAAATGCTGCCATTTAAAAAAAAAAAGGATTATTTACAGTACAGTACACCTATTACAGCAAAATGCATCAGGAACAATCTGGACTTTATGCTAAGAGAACAATGGTTCAATCAAGTTTTTTTTTAAACTATATTCAAAACTTTTAATTTTAGTAAACAACAACAATATTGGTTATACTACCAAAAAATGTATTTGAAATGTCCATTGAATTCAGACAATGGGATCAGGAAGATATAATCTTCAGGCATTAATAACCCCCAGCCCAGTCTGAGACCTGTATTATTGACACCAGTATTGTTTATGAGTCTCGCACACCTGAAACATGCCTAAACCATTCTAAACACACCTTTGGCACAGGATACATGCCAATTACTGACTATGACTCATGACTTGGGGAAGATCACATCCTAACGTTCACTGCCGTAGCAGGTGGTAGGGTGTGACAAGGAAAGAAAAACACCCTAGGTGGGCCAGACTGCTGAAGAGACGTGACTGATGACCTGAAAATTACACTACCTGATTTATGAACTCCACACCATATGGAAAAAGACACTTTTCATATGAACTTTAAGCGAACTTTATGTATATGCCGTGATTGTTTTTACCAGTCTGATGCCGTTTTCAAAGGCCTGTCTGGCGAGGGCAGCGGGCCCGTCCACGGTTTTGCCATCATCATCTGGACCCCAGCTGGCACTGTAAATATCTATGTGTTGAGGGTGTAGACTCAGTGATTTGGCCTCTACCATGTCTGTCACATCTCCGTCCAACATGCGGACACCTGCAGGACAAGCCAAAAGTTAACCTTATACAAAACACTGAAGATCATTGACACTTTTTCTCAGCAATGATGCATTAAATTGCTCAGAAGTTACAGTTATTGTGAACTTTCTATTTATTAAAGAAGCATGAAAAAACAGATCATAAAATATGAATTAGCACTGATAAAAAAGAAGATAATTGTTTTTCCTGTAGATCTGATCAAATAGTGAGCACATTGTGTATAAAATTAAATTGAAAAAAATCTTAAAAACCCCAAACTTTTTAACAGTAGTAAGTTTATAAAAGCTGTAATATTTTTAAATGGACTTAATGTTAAAAGTTGTCAGAATGGTTTTAAATGGTCTTAATGTTAAAAGTTGTCAGATTATATGTGCATAACCTCATTGGCGGAGCTGTAAAATTGATTTAAAGTTCCAACTTTGAAAAAATTAAAAAGAGCCTAAATTAATTTTGTTGACTTCAACAAACCAAATATTATTAATATTCTATATTGATACTCCATTATCATTGAATACATCAAAATGTATTGATATATAAACATAATTTAACATGCATGTGTGCTAAATAGGTCATTGGTCATTGTGTCAACAAACCACAAAACTCAGGGTCGGATCAGCAAGTAAACAAATGCTCGTGTCTGACTTCATACTCGGTCAGTCTGCCGTTTCCTCTTTCTCTGTTCCTCTGACAATGCTTTCCTAGGATTCTGCATCTTATGGCACATTTCCATTCCCAGTACCAGCTCGACTCGACACGGCTCGCTTTTCGTTCCATTTTCCATTGCAGACAGTCCCGGCACAAATAGTACCCGGTCATCATAGCGACGCCTTTCGTTCCTCGTTGCCCTATCAATCTCTCGCAGGATCCTCTCTTCGGCCACCAAACAAAGGAAAGTCTGCACCTCCTCGTTTGACCACAGCATATTCTTCCGAGTTGCCATAATAATAGTAGGGTAACGCTTCCTTTTACAGTACAGTACTTACAGTATACTTACAGTGTACTTACCTAGAAAGTACTGGCTAATATAAGGTAAGTACATGGAACAGGGGTAGGTTTAGGGGTAGGTTCAGGGTTAGTACTAGTTATTACCCAGTAATTGTAGTTACTAAAATAAGCACATAGTATTTACATTGGTAACTGGACTGTAAAAGGAAGCGTTACCAATAGTAGTTTGTTTAGTAACTGTCTCTGGCCAAACTATTTAAAAATAGCGGGGTCATTCTGGATACTCCATCTTGCGCGTGTGATGATGACGCAGGAGACGGCCACCATTCACCCCGAAAGAAGTCATATAAACATTTCAATAATGCTTTTCAGTTAAGCTTAAAAAAATGCATAAAATGCCTTTACACCAATATACTATTGTTGATTTTCCTTGTATATTTACCGTATAACGCACTTTGAGAAGCTCCCTTCTATAGAAAATAAAGTTATTATTAATTACAGACAGCAGCAGGTATTTATAGGCTTCTGTCATTTTAAGACCTAATGCAAGATCCAATATAATGATGCACATGTGATTTCTTACTCAATTAGTGCGTTTACATAATGGGATTTTGGCAATATTGCAATTAAACGTTACCTCGATCAAACTAATGTGATTAAGCTCCTAATTATAGAACCATATTCACATTAAACAAGTTTAAACCTTAAAGGGTTAGTTCACCTAAAAATGAAAATTATGTCATTAATGTCTCGCCCTCATGTCGTTCCAAGCCCGTAAGACCTCCATTCATTTTCGGAACACAGTTTAAGATATTTTACATTTAATCCGAGATTTTTCTGTCCCTCCTTTGAAAATGTATGTACGGTATACTGTCCTTGTCCCAAAAGGAAATAAAGACATCAAAGTAGTCCATGTGACATCAGTGGGTTAGTTAGAAACTCTCGGACTAAATCTAAAATATCTTAAACTGTGTCTTACTGGCTTGGAACGGCATGAGGGCGAGTCATTAATGAAATCATTTTCATTTTTGCGTGAACTAACCCTTTAAATCGCATTATTAATGACAAACGCATAAAACACTGCATTTATGAGCATACTTGGGCATTTTGACCATTTTTTCTGTACGTGTCCATTCAAGCGCAAGGAGATGAGAAAGAGGAATCAATTCTGTGTTCGCGAGCTATCTGAAACATGCCTCTCTGTGTGTGTGGCTTTGAGTACCGAATCGAGTTCAGTTGACCTCTTCTTGCGCTAGAATGATAAAAATCACTCTATAATAGTTCAACTTTGCAATTAATCCACGAATCACATGGGACCTGGTCCATACGGATGACATATCAACTATGATTCATTTAACCCTAAACTATTCACATATTGATTTTGTGTTATTTCATAGATTTGGTGACGTTTTTGTGCGAGAACGAAAAAAGGCAGAATTCCCAGGTACAGTAGTGGGTCTAAATCAGACATCAGCTACACTCACCCCCAATCTTGGCATTGTAAGCAATGCCCACCGTGCAGTGGGAGTTGTTGGCGGATGCTGCTACTTCACCAGCGCACCTCGTGCCATGCCTGAAAAGAACATATAAGATATTAGTGTTAGTATCACACTCGCACACACATTCACTAACTGCAAAAAACTAAAACTGGAGACCCTTACGCAAGCACAGGCACTGTTGCTGACCTATTACACACACTCGCTACAGAAGGAACGCAAAAGTGGACAGGAAACCGAAGAGAGAGACTGAAACAGCTGGGCTGAAACTAAACATGTGTTTCCACAGCCAGCAAAGCTAAAACACAGTGGCTAAATATTTGAGATATTGAAGGAAAACATTTGAGCGGTTCCTCTGCTTCAGACGCAACGTGGATACATTCCTGACCCAAACTAAACCCACATAAATCTAACACAAATCATCAGCAAAAAAATGCACTAAAACCTCCACTAAAGACAAAGACAGACAGAGCGAGAGAGAGATTCGGCTATGGAACCTCCAGCAGTGAACAGCTGCATAGAAAAACTCACGCTACCATGGTAACCACACTCTCCAATCTAAGCAATTTAAAAAAAAAAAGAAAACAAAAAGAAAAAGAAACAAAGATTGTAAAGATCCACAGCAGCACCAGATTCTGGGATGATACCAGGGTTCGGTCTCCATCGCAACCATAAACATTTACAAGGTCAAAAGGTCAAAAGGCTAGAGGAACTCCCAGGTGGTCTGTGTGCTTGATCCCAATGCCAATCCAATGACTCCCGACTAAATCTATTTCAATGATTATCTAATTCTGATGTAGATCATATCTGACATTTAATAGGAAAATAATCTGTAAGAAAATCCCCAAAGAATGACCACTTCTCTTCATTTCTACACTATTTTTCAAAGTTTGGGGGTCGGTAAGATATCGAATGTTTTTGAAAAGTCGTCTCTTGTGCTCATTAAGGCTGCAAAAATGTTATCAAAAATACAAAACAACAGTAATATTGTGAAATATTTTTACAACTTAAACTAAAGTACCTGTTTTCAATGTTAAAATGTAATTTACTAGCTGAATTTTCCAGCATTACTCCAGTCTTCTGTCACATGAATCTTCAGAAATCATTCTGATATGCTGATTTGCTGCTCAAGAAACATTTCTGATTATCAATATTAAAAAACAGTAAATATTTTTTTTTGTGGCAACCATGATACATTTCTTTTTCGGGATTATTTTACAATTAAAAAGATCAAAAAAGAACAGCATTTATTTAAATCAAAAATCTTTTGTAACAGTATAAATGTATCTGTTGCATTTGATCAATTTAGGGCTTCCTTGCTGAATAAAATAAATAATTTCTATATTTATAAAAAAGAAAAAAAACTTTTGAATGGTAGTGTATAAAGACATCAAAAAACACAATGATGGATTTTAGATCCTCTATACACTAACATACAACAGGACACTTACAAAATTAAGTATAACATATAGAAAACAAATATAATTCACAGGGATGAGCCATGTATGTTGATTGTTGAATAAAATGTTCTCTAGAATTAAACTTCCTCCTCTCCCCCTGTATTATAAATACCAACTGCCTGCAAAATTGCAATAGTAAATAGCAAATCATGGTTTATGCCTGTAATGTAAACTAAAGGCTATTGGCAAAAAAAAAAAAAAAAACTTCAATACATTTCGGCCCAAATGTATGTTTCCATCGTGTCAGCTATACATAATGTGTATCCTTGCATTACTTTAAAAGCCTCAGAACTCAGGAGAGCCAGGTATCCAGCTGTAATGGCTCGTTTCCACTGAGTGGTACGGTACGGTACAGTTCGGTACGCAATTACTTGCGTTTCCACTGTCAAAAGTTGTGAATGGTACCAAAAAGCCGTACCGTAACACTTTTTGGGTACCCTTCCGTTGGGGTACCTAGCACAGTGAAAGGGTACTAAAAAGGTACCTCGGGATCATTCACCTGAGTCGGACTTTGCGATCGCTACTTGGTATTGAGAAACGCCTAATGTCAGCGCTTGTTTCTTGTGACAAACATGACGAGAAGCAAGAACAAGATCTGCAGTCTGTCATCCATTGCAGTTTACTATGTCGCTTTCTTCACGCGAAAATGACGTCGATCGCTTCTTTCCAGCAAACACCACGCCTACTGTTGGCGGTGGAAACGCAAGCCGGATCATGGTGTACCCACCCGACCCGTGTACTGTACCGCACCGTACCCTCAGTGGAAACGAGCCATAAATGTCAACAGTTTCACTAACTTTAACTACCTTGCTATCTTAAACTAACTCTGTTTCAGTGAATTTCACTTACAGAAAAAATAAATCTCTCTTAAACAGTTTTTTGAACAAGCAGTGTTTAAGCCACTACTAAAGCTGTGACTATTATTATTATTACAAACCCAATTCCATAAAAGTTGGGACAAAGTTGTACAAATTGTGAATAAAAACAGAATGCAATGATGTGGAAGTTTCAAATTTCAATATTATATTTAGAATACAACATAGATGACATATCAAATGTTGAAAGTGAGACATTTTGAATTGCCATGCCAAATATTGGCTCCTTTTGGATTTCATGAGAGCTACAAATTCCAAAAAGTTGGGACAGGTAGCAATAAGAGGCCAGAAAAATTAAATGTACATATAAGGAACTGCTGGAGGACCAATTTGCAACTTATTAGGTCAATTGGCAACATGATTGGGTATAAAAAGAGCCTCTCAGAGTGGCAGTGTCTCTCAGAAGTCAAGATGGGCAGAGGATCACCAATTCCCCCAATGCTGAGGCAAAAAATAGTGGAGCAATATCAGAAAGGAGTTTCTCAGAGAAAAATTGCAAAGAGTTTGAAGTTATCATCATCAACAGTGCATAATATCATCCAAAGATTCAGAGAATCTGGAACAATCTCTGTGCGTAAGGGTCAAGGCCGGAAAACCATACTGAATGCCCGTGATCTTCGGGCCCTTAGACGGCACTGCATCACACACAGGAATGCTACTGTAATGGAAATCACAACATGGGCTCAAGAATACTTCCAGAAAACATTGTCAGTGAACACAATCCACCGTGCCATTCACCGTTGCCGGCTAAAGCTCTATAGGTCAAAAAAGAAGCCATATCTAAACGGGAACCAGAAGCGCAGGCGTTTTCTCTGGGCCAAGGCTCATTTAAAGTGGACTCTAGCAAAGTGGAAAACTGTTCTGTGGTCAGACGAATCAAAATTTGAAGTTCTTTTTGGAAAACTGGGACGCCATGTCATCCGGACTAAAGAGGACAAGGACAACCCAAGTTGTTATCAGCTCTCAGTTCAGAAGCCTGCATCTCTGATGGTATGGGGTTGCATGAGTGCGTGTGGCATGGGCAGCTTACACATCTGGGAAGGCACCATCAATGCTGAAAGGTATATCCAAGTTCTAGAACAACATATGCTCCCATCCAGACATCGTCTCTTTCAGGGAAGACCTTGTATTTTCCATCAAGACAATGCCAAACCACATACTGCATCAATTACAACATCATGGCTGCGTAGAAGAAGGATCCGGGTACTGAAATGGCCAGCCTGCAGTCCAGATCTTTCACCCATAGAAAACATTTGGCGCATCATAAAGAGGAAGATGCAACAAAGAAGACCTAAGACAGTTGAGCAGCTAGAAGCCGTTATGAAGCTAGAAGCCGTAGCCGTTAAGACTGTTATTAAAAGAAGAGGGGATGCCACACAGTGGTAAAAATGGCCTTGTCCCAACTTTTTTGAGATGTGTTGATGCCATGAAATTTAAAATCAACTTATGTTTCCCTTAAAATTATGCATTTTCTCAGTTTAAACATTTGATATGTCATCTATGTTGTATTCTAAATATAATATTGAAATTTGAAACTTCCACATCATTGCATTCTGTTTTTATTCACAATTTGTACAGTGTCCCAACTTTTATGGAATTGGGTTTGTATTATTTGTAATTAAACATTTGAAATTTAGGGGGATTTATTAGACTTATTAGGATTTATTTAAGTACATCAAAAAATGTATTCTATAAATGTTTCTATCAATACATTATCTTTTTATTAAAAACTGCATCCACCTCAATCAAACAAATTATTTAAATGCACATTATTCAATATCCCAAAATTCACACAAAAATTCACACGTTGATTATTTGTTGGTTTTTAAATGTCATGCCAGCATCTTTAGCAGTTTTTTCCTTAAAAATAAATTAAAATTTAAATATTACAAACCAATCAAATATGTATATGGGAGACTTTTTCCTGTTAGTATATATGCAGTATGTAGATGGAACAAGGCCATTGTTGCTCTGCCAATACAATATTTGACCTGAAAAATAAAGCTGCCAAAAAGAGACACCATTTATGCCAACTACGGGATCTCTTTTTGATAACTTCCAGTTGGAGCAGGCCATATCTGTGGCAATGCGTGTTGCAGTAGCGCTGTCATATCTGCCTATATTTTAACATGTTAAACAGCCTATAAAACGCTCTCACGCATTTATTTTTATTTTTTTACCATTTTGGGAGGCTAAAATTTACATATATGTGGAATGCGTCTCAAACCACCTCCAAAAGCATTTCAGAGCATATTTAGACCTAGTCTTTTCACAATTTAGTCATCGATCAGAGAAAACGCATAAAGTGACAAGGCTTAAAAAGGCGCTTTATTAGATTAGAGCGTCTTAAAGTAAATATTGTTTTATTACATTTGTTTATAAAATTTCTTTTACATTAACTGTATCTGAAAAAAGTTTCTTATCTCTAAAAGAGGAAATGTGCGTGACGTCACCGTCGGCCGGAGTGCCTGCAGTTACTCACAGTGAGTGGCAAAATGACTGAGCGGCTGTATTTGTTTTCAGCGTGAATGCTGCGAAAAACAAACACAACAGACATAAAGTGGGAAAGAGCTTTGCGATTGACTGTAAAACTAGATTTGACAAAAAATAAATAAATAAATAAAAATCGCAGGGTATATTTTTTACAAACTGCTATAGAAAGAGGAGCAAATGGATCGCTGCAATTCACAGAAACAACTGGACTCCAGTCAGCGAAAGGTGGATTTGCAGTTTTTTTTTGTG